GCAAGGATTCATTGTAAGAAGCAATTGTATCAAGCAAATATAGGTTGTCATAAATACTCAAGTAACCGGTTCCCACAACATTTGAATTAAAAGATAAACTGAATTGACTGTTTCCAAATGAACAAGAATAACCTGATTTGTCCAATACAGAAACAGAAACCAAATTCCGTCTAAAAGACGGTACTACAAAAGTATCTTTTAAATCCAAATAATAACCAGTTCCTAACAACAACCTAAAGTGCCCAATTGCTTCCACATCTACCGATTGTCCGTCGCCCACAAAGATGTGTCTTTCAACATCACTTGGCTTTCGGTAGCTCAGGCAACCCTGCATAGAAACACTTATGTGAGTAGTAGCACCAGAGTCTAACCACCAAGTGTTTCTAGGTACTGAAGCTAAATTAACCTCAGAACAGACCAAAGCAAGGAACGTACCCTTATTATCACGCCAGGCGTGATATTTTGTACAGTCCTTCTTTACATGTCCAGGCTTCTTACAGAAGAAACAACCCTGATTATCCTTATGTTGTTTCTTCTCAACTGGACCCTTAGCAGCTTCCTTATCATTCTTCCTTTTCTTGCCCTTATCCTTAGAGGCATAGGCCAAATGAGCACTTTCTGTCTTATCTTGCTTCAACATGTCTTCTTCTTGCACACAGTATGAAATGAGCTCATTTAGAGTCCATTTCTCCTTTTGACAGTTATAACTGACCTTAAATTGATTAAACTGTACAGGAAGAGACAACAGAACCAGATGCACTAATAACCCATCACAAAGATTGAGTTTAAGTGCCTTAAGCTTTGAAGCAATATGAGACATTTCCATAATGTACTCCGTGATATTTCCTTTGCCCTTATACTTCATTGAAATCAAGCGAGCTAAAAGCGTGCTTGTTTCTACCTTATCGTTTTTAGCAAAACGCTTCTCAATTTCGGCAAGGAAATCTTTAGCCTTAGTAATCCCTTCGGATTCTATGCCCCTGAAGGCTTCCGGAACGCCGCGCTTAATGATCATAAGACTCATGCGATTTGAACGCTCCCACTTCTCATGCTCCTTCTTTGCATCAGGAGTGCTATCCGCATTGAGAGGTTGGGGTTGTTCAGTTCTTAATGCATAGTCAAGATCCATGCAGCCAAGAACAATTAATATGTTCTCCTTCCAAACCTTGAAGTTTGTCTCATTTAGCATGGGAATTGAGTTAATGTTAGCAGAAATTGTTGCAACAAATGCATTAGCTGAAATAAAACAAAAAATGCTCACATCAATAACCATAATCAATAAAATTCAAATAATGACAATCCCCATCCAAGATATCGGGCACAACATTAATATCAAGTCTTTGGACAGTAATATTAACTTGTAAGTAATACCTTGTTGCAATGATCAAACATTGACAATAACTCATGTCAAATAATGAAACTATCTTTGGATCGATTCATTATTCACATGTAAACCTTATAATTGTCACACGCTTATCATCACAGATGTGTATACAGTCTAAATAAATATTAACCTTCCTTTGGGCCGATTAAATATTTACACGAAGGCATAAACATAAACATCTCACATTCCTCATGAACAATCTACACAAGAGAGGTTACTTTGGCAACTTCTTGTTTCAATTAATCAATTGGAGTGAGAGACAACCTTAATACCTTAGTGTCATAATATTTGAATTAAATAATTGATTAAAAACTGAATTAGATTTAAATTAAAAAAATTTTAAATCAACTGAATTTTCAAAAACTTAATTGGGGTCTCACAGCTTAATTAGGGCCCATAACTTAATTGAATAAATTAAGTATACCAAAGTGGACCCATGAAAAGCCGAGGCTTAACCATAATGAACACGAAGTTCCCTTAACTTCGAACGCGAGGTTCGACTGTATTGAGTACGAGACTCACTTAAGCACGAACGTGAGGTTCGTCTGAGAACGAACGCGAGGTTCGTTTGAAAAATGAACGCGAGGTTCAACTTGAGAACGAACGCGAGGTTCGTTAAAAAAAATGAACGCGAGGTTCGACTGAAGTACGAACGCGAGGTTCGACTGAAGCACGAACGCGAGGTTCGTCTGAAGCACGAACGCGAGGTTCGTCTGAAATAAACGCGAGGTTCAACTTAAGTTGAGCGCGAGGCTCACCTGAGAACTGAATGCGAGGTTCACCTTAGAACGAACGCGAGGTTCGTTAAAATTAAGCTTGACGCTCATCTGAGTTGAACGCGAGGTTCACCTTAGAACGAACGCGAGGTTCGTTAAAATTGAGCTTGACGCTCACCTGAGTTGAACGCGAGGTTCACCTTAGAACTGAGCGCGAGGCTCACCTTAGAACGAACGCGAAGTTCGTTGAGCGCGAGGCTCACTTGATAACGAACGCGAAGTTCGTTTGAACGCGAAGTTCGGTTAAAATTGAACGAACGCGAGGTTCGTTTGAAGCTTTCAGCTTCGCCAAAATTTGAGGTAACCACCTCCTTAATGTTCGGCACGTTTCACGCACGAACCCTTAGGGTTTCAAACCGAAACCGCCGCCGACAAACCAAAAAAAATTCCTCGATTTTATTTTTCAAAATAAGATCCAGACCAAGAAAAATCGAAGAAAAATCAAAAAAAATTCCAAAAAGGTACTGTTCACCGATGATTTTTCAGTTACTGTTCACCCGAAAAACTTTTCGTTACTGTTCATCCGAATAAAAAATTTACTTTTCATCCGAAAAACAAAACTGAATCTTTAACCAGAGATTTAAGATAAAAAAACCCAATAAAACTTAAATCCCTAAGAATTAATCAATGTGACTCTGATACCACTTGTTAGATCTGAACCAAAACTTGATATCTAAAATCATATAGCCATGATTAATTCAAAAAAGATTAACAATAATCAAAAGAGCGGAAGCTTATACCTGAATCCATGGATGAACCTTGAGATGAGTTTTGGATCTTCTAACATTAGGGTTTCTCTAAATTCGAATTTCTCTAGCTAGATGGGGGTGTAGAGAATTAGAGAATGTAACCCTAGGTTAGGGACCATAACCCCTTATTTATAGATGTTGTACTTTTATAATTTAGCCCCTCAATAAATCACAATTACAACCTGGTATCTGCACATATAACCCCATGATTATATTAAATACCCATTAACCCAACTTAATTGATCACTTTAGTGGGTTATCGTGAAAGATAGTAATACACATTGATTAATCATATGTGCCCACAAATAGATTTATTAGATTAGATCCAACATCAGTTTGTACATATATTGATGCATTGCTTGTGTCCTTATGTTACACTCAGGATGATGAGGAAGAAGGTGAAGAAGGAGAAGAAGAGAGCTTGAGTAAATGTATAGGGAAGGAGTTGAAGAAGCTTCTGCAGTGTTATAGCCATTGTAAATAATTTATGTAAAAGTTTGAAAACAATTTAGGTATCTCTCAGCTTCTGCAGTGTTATAGCCATTGTAAATAATTTATGTAAACGTTTGTAAACAATTTATGTATCTCTCTACTATTTTGGTGAATGTATTATTTGAATATAATTGGATTTGATATTGAAATATAATTAGATTGTGTTAGATATGAATATAATTTATTATTGTTCAATATTGTGTACATGCACTCAAAGTAGATTCTGCAAAAAAAAAAAAAAAACTACTGTAGTATAGCATCCTAGATGGAAACTCCGTCTAGAATGTTTTTTTCAAATAAATAAATAAATAAACAAATAAGCCTCCTAGACGGAATTTTCGTCTAGGATGAGTATCCTAGACGGAAATTTTTTCCGTCTAGGATGGTATTCTAGATGGAAATTCCGTCTAGGATAATCCGTCTAGGATGTATTCTAGACGGATTTGAATTCCGTCTAGAATAATCCGTCTAGGATGTATTCTAGATGGACTTTCCGTCTAGAATTCTACATCCTAGATGGAAACTTCCTAGACGCATATTCTAGACGGAATTTCGTCTAGGATACTCATCCTAGACGGAATTCTGATTTTTCTAGACGGAATTTTCCGTCTAGGATGCCTCATTTTTTACTTGTGAGTAGATTATAATCCACACACTTTTCAAACATTTCTACTTCTAAAAATAGATTATTTTTCATCAATTTTATTAAAAACTCTAGGTTATAGCCCATCTAAGTTATAATCAATTTATGGAGCATAACACGAATAAATTATACTTCAAAGTTCCCAATCTCTTAGAAGTCTAGATCAGCCTTTATGTATTAACTTTTACAATAGATTAAGCATAATTAGACATAATTAAAGGCACAATCCAAAAATAAGTGAAGAAATAAATTTCCATAAATTGTGTCTTCCATTAACTGTATCGAGAAGAAATAAGGAAAAAGAAAGAGATTAGTTTAAGAGTAAAGGTTAGCTGTTATAATGTTCTTATAATGTCATAAAGAGATCATAGTTTCACTAATGTGATTGAACTTCTACTTATAAAATCAAATTTTAGTGTCATGTAAACTTAGTAAGGATTGGTTATGGTAAACTGTGAAGTTATATATACATACTAGTTCCAAAATTAACATAAGTTATGGTTTTTATTTAAAAATAAAATATTATGTAAGAAATGAGTTACTACATGTTTACCGAAGAGAGTCAGTCACTAACTCACCCTGCCTGCATATCTAGAGGGAAGAGTATCGTATGAGACAGTAACTAATTACATGCACACGTACATAATTAAGAAATTTAAAAAATCAAATTGAGCATAATAATAATAATGTAATTATCTACTGTTACACAGTAGATAATTACATACGGTTATTCGAATAAACACTTCCCAAACAAATATCGTTCTAAAATATCAAATTATACCATTCTGATGAAGTAAATTAATATAAAAACCAATAATTTAGATCAAACTTTATTCAAGGCAAATCAATTTTACATGCTAGTGGGACTAAAGAAGCACAAAGACATCATGTCAAAAAAAAAAAAAAACCACAAAGACATCATAACTAAAACAACTGTCTTTAATTATTACCTTACCTAAAACCAAAGCACGAACGCAAATTAAGACACCCTTAAACAATCAAGCCAGCATCCATCAAAAAGGATAAAAGGATGATGCATCCATCAAAGCTAACATGTTCTCATATGATCCCATGCATGGCTTCTTCATGACCACATCATCCAAATACCCACCACCTCCGCCATGACATCCATCCATCATCATGATGGGCTTCTCTTCCCGTACTATTATAGCGTCAGGGTTAGAGTTAAGATTAGGATTAAGGTTTCTGACTTGAACTATTCTTTCATGCACGTCTTTCAACGTATCATCAACCAATCTCTCTAAAATTCCCAGATCCTCAATCCCCAAATCCACCAATTTTCGACCAGCAGTGCACTGATGCATGACAATCTTCATCTCTAGCTCCCTGATCTCTCGCTGCTGCTTAAAGATCTGCTCCTCAAGCTTCACCATCCTCTGCATGGCGAATCCTTCTTGATTCACCCTCTTCTTCCTCTGCTCGCTCTCTGGCATCGCCTTTAGATGCTCTAGAATCCTCTTTGCCTCCGGCTCCATGGGCCACACCTCGGGCTGTGCCTCGTCGGGCGCGTAGACGATCGCGCAGGCCGGGACGTCGCAAAGAGTGGAGAGCTCGTTGACCTTTTTGAAGAGACCGTTACGGCGTTTCTTTAACGTTGCTCGCCGTTTTGCGTCGTTGGAGATCCATGCAAGAGTCACTTTTTTCCTGGCCATTGTTTTTCCCCTTTTTGTTCAGTGATTTTGCTTGTTTTATAGGTTTTTTTAGTTGCATATAATATAAATAGAATCTCGGGTAATGAGGGGTTATGTATGTAATTGCCTTATTTGCTTTTGGATTGATAATTGGAGGGTATCTTTATGATTGGAAATATATTTGATTAGATTTTTCAGTGAATTGGATGGATGAGATTCAACGGAGAGGATATATTTGCAATCAATTTGGCAAAAAAAAGAATGCAATCATTCTTTGGCTGTGTGTTAAAAAAGGAAGATTTTTCACGTTAATTGGAAATTGAGATGGCTTTTGAATTTTGATTGATTAGGCGCAGCTAAGATCTAGGCTCGGAACCGTACTCGGCTTTCAAATTGTTCATAATTCTTTAATTGTTTATATAAGTTTAGGCATTTTTTGAGTTACGCATTTTTAGGCTTAATTGCACTTAAATACCCTATAGTTTCTCCTACTTCGCACTTATATACTCTCACTTGGTGTCAACAATACTTATTATACCTAAAGTTTTTAAAACTTGCACTCATATACCCTTACTTGTTTTTGTAGCACTCAAATACCCTAAAATTTAAAAAATGTCCACTTAAAAACCGTAAAGTTTTTAAAATTGGCACCTAGATGCTCTAAAGTTTTAAAAACATGCGCATAAATACTCTCAAGTTTGCATAACGGAGGGTAAGTGTAAGTTTATAAAACCTTAGTATATTTAAATGCACATTTTTAAAACTTTAGGGTATTTAAGTGTTGCCAAAATAAGTGAGAGTATATAACTGTAACTTTTAGAAACTATAGGGTATATAAGTGCCACCAAAAATAAATGAGGGTATATAAGTGCAAAGTAGAGCGGATTATAGGGTATTGCGATTAAGATTTTTTGTATAAGACCTTGTTCATTTAGATTACTGGACCAAGTCCAAACAGAGAGGGAGTTTAGAAGAGCTTCATTTTCGAACTTTTTAAGCTATATTAGCTTTTAATGTCTTTTGGACTTTATGATAATTTTTATGTGTTTCGAAATCAATTTCTCAAAATCTTCATACTTTGAAATTAGTTATCCACATTCTATAAAAAAAATTTTAAATTTAGTTCATCTGGTTACTGCTGATTAGTCCTCATAGAGATTAGTCCTTTTTGTTACAGCTGTTTGAAGGACTCGGAGGACTATTTTCAAATACGTAAAGCGGTGGGGGTCTAATTTGAAAACTTAAAAGAAAATCACAAGTTGGGGGACTAATATAATTATATTTAAGTGGACCCGCTTTATTTAAAATAGATACGCGTACGCGACAGCGCCGCCGTATTCCGTATCTCTCCCCAGTTCCTCCTCCCTAAAACCAACAAAAACCAAGTTAGGGTTTTCATTCCGCTTCTCTTCGCGACTCCATCTCTTTCGAACCCCGATTCATTCGGACCTCTTCGATGGCGGCGCCTGCGAACGATGGAGGAATGGGCGGGCCCTTGAGGAGGCGGC